AAAAAAAAAAAGGTGGGGACAAATTATAACTCAGCTAAGGATCAAATATCCAAATAACAAAAAATGAAAGAACCGTAACCTTATCAGACTTGTATCTTCATAACAAATCCTACTTCAAAAGATGCAGTTTGGAACACAGGGGACTGACTAGGGGCAAGGAGGTGCGCATAAATCATGAATAATGTCACATAAATGTACCTTGTTACTATGAATTTAATCTCGGAACGGACATTGTACTATAACAAGAAAACAGAAAAAGCTCAAACGCTGTCATTGTACAGGCAAAAGCACGGTGATGCATTTAAACAACAAAGTAAGCTAGACAACGACTCCAAATATAAACTCTAATATCCTGTTAACATTCGTGGACTAAAAGGAGAAAAATAAGCATTAAGTAAATTTCCAACATCTTTCACTTTGCATACACTGAGATCAAACTCACTTGAGATTTGAAAAGTTTAGCTTCATTACCTGGAATTGTAGGTGGGGATCCGTTTTCTCCATAACCAAGTTTAGAAGGAATTTTCAACTTCCTTTTCTCTCCCATGCACATCCCAAGCAGTCCTTGGTCCCACCCTGTGAAACATCTTACATATCTTCAATTGGTGATCCATATAGTTTCACTCTTAAAATAGAAGATGGAATTTTATTAGAAGGGGCCTGAGCAATTCTCCTCAGTTGCATATTCATAAATAATAAGGAAAAAAACGCAATGAAATGTGCAAACAGTATTGAACTATGTGGAGTCTTTTCTGGATATTAGATAAAAGTCCTCACATGAATACCTCATTAACGAAAAACATGTGACAAATTAATCAGGAATGCAGTTTATGAAATCAACATCACAAGTAAAACATGTTTGGCAGTTAAGAGGAGGTACGAGATAAAATGAACTGAAAAAATGAAGTCAAATGTAACATGTACACGACCTTTAATCACTTGACCACTACCAAGTTCAAATTCAATTGGATCCCCCCTTTCAAAGCTGGAATCGAAAACGGTTCCATCTGTTAGCTTTCCCTGCAAGAATAATTGGGAGTTAGAACCAACAGAGCACTTAAGCTTACAAATCAAGCATGCTGGGATTACCATCAACCATAGAAATCTACAATTTTATACCAAGATCGTAAATCATGATCGAATGATTTCATATCTGAGTTCAAATAGAGTACCTTTCTGACTTGACATGTAATTTAACCATTAAAGTTACTCCTCTTAACTTCGAAAGCTTTGCTAAATTCTATAACAAATTTATTACATATTGATGATCTCTTAATTCACAAAATCTAAACAAAATTTTTCGATTCGTCATATGCAGGTACGAGGAGTGCATTCTTGAAAACAAAATGAGACTTCACCGACCCTGTAATGTACTTTGACCCTGTCGCCTTTGTGAGCTTGAACCTCGCAAATCTTGGGCTTGTACTACACCAACAAGCAAGCAATGATGAAGATCAGATCAATCTCAACACATAAAAAGAGGAGAGTGTAAAAAACCATGAATATAGCAAAACACAAACAACTCAATTTCATGAAGAAGTGAATGATTATCATTTAACAGCTATCAGAACGGGGGAAGAGGGTGCGGTCCCAGGTGACGCGCACCATAAGAGGGTAAGCATAGGCACCTTAGTGAGGTTCCATCCCAAAACGAATTGGTTATGGGAGGAGTAGCACACTAGGCTTATATATTAAACTCATTTTTCCTATAGAATCAACGTGGGACAACTCACAAGTGATATTCCGCTCAAACAGATCAATTTCTTGAAAGAAAGACGACACTCACCATCGATCTTCAACAGAATTTGAGTTAATTTATTACCCAAAAATCAATTCTATTGCAGATAATCATTCCTGATTAATTTCGTAAATTCTATTGAAAATAGAATTACCTTCACACCGATCTGCAGATCCGCCACATCCCCAGATTTCTTTGCGGAACCTTAAAAATATTCACAATAAAAATTAAACATCATCAAAGCATTTTAGATACAGCAGATTTTTTTATTTATTTAATTTTTTTTTTTGGGATCACAATATATTTTCCAAATAACTTCCATTATAAAGCGAAAATAACTAAATTAAAATTAAATAACATAAGAACAACGAGCGAGATTAGCTTGAATCAAAGAGGATTTTGATTTACCGAGTGTAATGCACGCGAAAAGAAGACATGCCAGAGCTAAAACTAACGCAAAAGTGGACCTCATTTTGCAGAAATTTGATATAAGATCTGTTTCTCTACGCTGAAATTAATTAATGCGGGGAATTGTTTTTTTTTTTTCTTTTTCGCCTCCACTTACATGTGAATAATACATGAGCTGAGCAGTTATAATATTAATAATTAATTAAAATATGTATAATTTTCCATATAAGCAAAAAAAAAGATAAAAATGAGGCACCAGCGCAGCGACGCCACTTTAAGCCAATTAGAGCTTCACATGTCAGCTTATGAATTACCTTTGCAATGTAAAGAGGACGTCAATCTTTAAAACTTAACGCCACGTGCCATAATTTGACAGTAAAATCCTCGTGTCACCCAATTTTATTCATCTCTTGAGGACACAAGTGTCTTTTTTTCATTAAAAAGTTGTCTGTTAGTACTAAAATGTTTTTACTTAAAAAAATCTAAATAAAAAATATTAAAGACTTTTGATTAATTTAGTTAAAAATTGTTTAATTATTCACTCGTACAATACATGTGTAGTTCCGGTGTACTACACGGGTAAGAAAATTATATTTAAAGTTAAATAATAATAATAATAATAATAACAAAAATAGTTGTAGATTTTAAATATTCTTTGAAAAAAATATAATATTATTTATATTTAAAATGACTTGTCACATACACGCACTACAAGAAATTGTCAAAATGCCAACGGAAATTACCAACAAAAAATTTTCCGTTAGGGATTGCCAACGGATTGCCGACGCATTAGCAATGCATTATATATACAATTTTTCTAAACATATTACCAACAGAATACTAACAAGATATAGCAACGGAAAATTACATCTTTGTATTCCGTTGGCAAATAGTGACGGAAATATTCCGTTAGTAAACACAAACAAAATACCAATAGAATAGCAACAAAGTCTTTCAAAATTGTATTAGCAACATATTAATCCGTTGGTAAATAGCAACGGATTTTTTTAGTTGGCAAACAACAACGGAATAGCAACGGACATCATCAATATTATATTAGTAGCGGATATTTTTCCGTTGGTAAATAACAACGGATTATTTCCGTTGGCAAATAGTAATAGAATAGTAACAAACTCTTTCAAAATTGTATTAGCAACGGATTTTTCTGTTGGAAAATAATAATAGAATTTTTTTATTCGTAAATAGCAACGAACATTTTCAATATTGTATTACCAACAGATTATTCCGTTAGTAAATAGCAACAAATTTTTTTCCGTTGGTAAATACCAACGGAATAGCAACAAGCTCTATAAAAATTGTATTAACAAAGGATAATTTTGTTGGCAAATAGCAACGGAATTTTTCCATTGGCAAATACCAACGGAATGACAACAATCTCTTTAAAAATTGTATTAGCAACAGATTATTCCGTTGGTAAATAGCAACAGGATTTTTCCGTTGGCAAATAGCAATGAAATAGCAACAAACTCTTCCAAAATTGTATTAGCAACAAATTATTCTGTTGGTAAATAAAATAGAATTTTTCCGTTGGCAAATAGCAACGGAATAGCAACAAACTCTTCTAAAATTGTATTAGCAACGGATTATTCCGTTGGTAAATAGTAACGGATTTTTTCCGTTGGCAAATAGCAACGGAATAGCAACAAACTCTTCTAAAATTGTGTTAGCAACAGATTATTTGTTTGGTAAATAGCAACGGAATTTTTTCGTTGACAAATAGCAACAAACACTTTTAATATTGTATTAGCAAATGATTTCTATATTTATTTTTTGACATAAAAAAAATAATAATTTTACTTATATTTGTTAAAAATAATACTCAACCATTATTTTCAAAATTCATTGTCGTATAATGACATTATTATTATTATTATTATTATAACACTTAGAAAAATAAAATTCTTTATATATGTATGTATATATATAATGAGAAATATTTAATATACCTTAAAATTATTTAGTTATGTAATTAGTTTAAAAATATTTAAACAAATTCAAAATAAATATTGTGTTGTCTTAACAACAGATCATTTCATTGGTAAATAGAAAAGAATTTATTCTGTTGGTAAATATCAAAGGATTTATACTAACTTATAATACTTTAATGTACATATGTAACATAACCTGCAATTTATTTTCATTTCATCTAACAAGGTGATTTTACTTTTAACTATCAAATCTACAATAGGGTATGATTTTTCCTAAAAATTCTACTATTCATCAAAACTAGTATAACACCCGTGTAATACACGGGTGATTAAAAAAAATTATGTTTCACAAATGGTAGAACTACAATAATTTATATAATAATGTAAAAAAATAAATATATAAAATAAAAAATAAATTAAAAATAAACACCCTTAATTCTTAGTACAACGTACCATAATTCTTAGTATAAAAAAATGAACACCCTTAATAAAATACCATGGACAAAATACCATTATACTAAAATATCATGAATTTTATGGATTTTTCTTTTATATATATGATTTTTTTTTTATAAAATTCTTAAAAGGTTATAATATAAGATAAAAGGTTATATTATGGAAAGTGAGGTTTTTTTTCCAGTTTAATAGATTCTCAAATAATTAAAAGGTTATATTACAAGTGTTATTAAATTACCTAAGTTAGGTTAATAATATTTATGGAATGTCCGAACCTAAATTATTGATTCAATATTATTTGTCCAAACCTAATTACGAAGCATAATTATTTGCCAAGTAGGATTACGAAGCACCAGAAACAGCCACGTAGGCTCAGCGCATTCGGGAATTATATATAGAGGGGATTTATATTTTTCTTCTTAATTTATTAGTAAAAATAAAAATAAAATCATTCACTTCTACATTTATAGTTCAACGTAAATGGAAATTTATAATTTATTAAATTATACAACTGCTTAAATTTTGATTTGAATACTTTATACAAAAATAAATTTCTTTTAATTAACTAAACAATATAAGTTTTATAATTGTACTTATTATTTATATAGATATTTAAATATATGATAAAATTTTACCAAAATATTTCTTTTAATTTCAGAAAAAAAATCATAATGACACTTATTTTGAAAGGAATATAACATAACTTATTATCAATTAGTGCACCGTACGAGTTGCGCTTGTGTGTAAGTGTGTGTGTGTGTATATATATATATATACACACATACAAAAGAAAATTTATTGTATAGTCTAAATTTAAGTTTCAAATTTAAAAGCTAAATAAGTAATTATTCATAACTTACGGATCAATATTAACTTAAATGTAAATGAAATAGTTTATTATTTATAATTTCATAAACTACTCAAGTACTTAAATTTTTTGATTTGGATAGTTTATACAAAATTAAATTTATTTTAGTTAACTAAACAATATAAGTTTTATAATTATACTTATTATATATATATATATATATATATATTTAAATATATGATAAAATTTTACCAAAAAAATTTCTTTTCTGGAATCACATTGTAGTTAAATAGAATTTATAAAACTAAACAAATTTAAAATGAAACTTGTTTGGAAAAAATATAATATAATTTATTATCAATTAGTGCACCGTACGAGTTGTGTACTAATTTAAATAGACATATTTTATATAATTTTGCACAATTTAAATTTCATATAATACTTGTAATAAATTAATATACGTAAATTGTATTACATACTAATTCTATATTTTAAATTTATAAATATAATTTAATGAGTCTTTTTAATTTATAAATTTTAATACATATTTCTTACCCGTGCGTCGCACGAGATTCGTACTAGTTCATTTCAAAATGTCATAAATTTATAGATACTTATATATATATATTCACTATTTTTATAATTAGACATATTAATAAAAACACTAAATATAATTGAACGGTTGGAGGATAAATAATATAGAATTTTTTATGAATTTATCAACTATTACATACGAGTTGAATCATGTCTCATACATTCATATAAAAGAATTGTAGAATCATGTCGCATACATTCATATAGCCTAGTGGTGGTGTTACCTCTTTGACATGCAAGAGGTCTTGAGTTCAAACCCTAGTGTTGTGAGAATTGAGAGAGTTTGTAAGGATTATATTGGTGGATGGTCATGGGCTCTCATTGTGAGCCATGTGGTTCAAGGTGGGTCAGGTGGTTGCAGCCTTCAAGTTGGATCAACAATTTTTTTTTTTGCTAAAAAACTGTTGGTATTCTGTTGGAAAAAATTCGTTGGCAATCTGTTGGGAAAATATCCGTTTGTAATCTGTTGGGAAGAAATTCCGTTGGTAATCCGTTGGGAAAAAATTTCGTTGGTAATCCGTTGGGAAAAATTTCCGTTGGTAATCCGTTGGGAGAATTTCGTTGGCAATCCGTTGGGAAAATTTTGTTGGTAATCTGTTGGGAAAAATCTGTAGGTAATCCGTTGGTATATCCGTAACTAATATGTTGGCTTTCTGTTAGTAATTTACCAACGGAATGATTTCGCAACTACGTTTTCTGTTGGCAATTCCTTGACAATCTCATGGAGTGATTCTGTTGCAAATTCGTTGGTAATCCGTTGAGAAATTTACCAACGGATTGCATATTCCGTTGGCAATAATTACCAACAAGCCATATAGCAACACAGAAATCCGTTGGTAATCCGTTGGCATTCTGTTGGGAAATTTGTTTACCAATGGATTATTCCGTTGGTAAAACTCATATTTCTTGTAGTGACGACTTACCATTTTATATTATAATTTTTTTTAATTTATATCAAATAAATACTTTGTAGTAAAATTAGTTTAAATAATTTTATTTTTTCAAATTAGTATTAATAGATATAACTATAAAGATAAATAAGAATTATTTATTTATTTTGTATGTATAATTGAAGCTCATCAAGACATGCTTAATTTTTTTTATATTTTTTTTCCAAAACGATAGAACGATTATCATAAAATTGAAAGAGGACATAGTCCGAATACAAAGTTCAGTACAACTGGAATAAGAAATCTAAAAATAAGAGACACACCCTAAGGTGACCTAGAGCCTAACCACGAGGAACTGAAACCAAACAAAAAGAAACAAAGGAATTAATTCCCCTCTACTGCCAAAGGCCTAGCAAGAAATTTAGCACCCCAAAATGCAAAGAAAATCTAAGCTAAAAAACAAATCAAGAGCCACAAGCAGAAAGAAACTGAGTCTAGCTAGAATGAGCTATTTTGATGGTAAGTTGTGTATGTGACAATGTCATTTTAAATACCCATAAGTTCTTGGATTTCCAAAGCCACCAAAGGATGTAAGTTGAAAGTTGGATCCTTGCTTCAGTGACTTCAGAGTGATCAAGGAAACGGATTTTGTACCACCACTCTTTGAAGGAACCTGTGCTGCTGTAAAGTCCCTGCCAAGAAAAAGGTGCAATATCCCAAACTCTACAAGCTCTGGTACATGAAAGAAGAACATGCTCTATGGTTTCAGATGCCTCACCACAGATAGAACAAATATGATCAACATCAACTTTCATGTTCTTCAAAAGACAGGCCACAGGAAGAGTCCCAAAAATCGGCCAGCATAATTATCCACAAGAGGTTGGGACATGGTTTATTTATAGGCTCTATTAGTGACCTTAAGAATGTGCTAAATATGAGATTATCTCATTAGGTCAGGAAATCCTAATTCTACTCCATATACTTCTCCCATCTAGGTTGGAATTCCTCCTACTAATAATTACCTTCTAGAAGACTTCATAGTCTCCTAATCCTATGTAATATTCTAGAAGGAATATTCCCGTCCTAATGGAATATTAATTGTGGAATAAAAATAATTTCTTAATAAATGAAATTAAATAATAAAACATCCAACTAGAGTAATATTATTGTTCTCCCCATTACCTTCTAATTTATTCAATAAATTCAAACCTCCATCAATTAATGTATTTATATTTAAAGTAGTTATATAATATAAGTTATAAAAATTACTATACTATAACAAGTGTTAGTCGCATAAATAACAAGTGTTATTTTAAAATATATAATAATATATACTTTTTGTAAAAAAGTAAATAAAATATAAAATAAATTTTCTCATGAATTTAAAATTTAATAATAATTTTTTAACAAATTAGTACAGGGATGTTGTACTAGTGTATATATACTACACAAGCACCAAACCAACCAATTTTGCTAAGGAACTAGATGGTTGGTTTCCTTATGGAACCAACCACCAATGGGGCAGCTCCACAGAGGGTTGTCCCATTGTGGAGCTGTCTCATTGGTGGTTGGTTCCATAAGGAAACCAACCATGTGGTTTTATAGAAAAACTGCCAAACCAACTTTTATGATTAAAGCACGAGTTATTTTTTCAAGTTGTTTATGTTCATTTGAAATACGAGGGAACACTCAAATCCCAAAGTTTAGCCTTGTTGGTAATGTTCATTTCAAAGTTTAGCCTGGTAAGAAAGTGAATAATTAAAATTCTTAATTATAATTATGTAATTTCTATTCACAGCTCCGAAACTCGTAAACGTTGAGGGGGGGGTTTTTACAAACACTTATGACGGATTCGCAGTGATTAGGCAGAAAAACACTGTTCTTGCACACCAAATTGTATCACATGTCAACTGAATATGTATGCTTAGCAACGATTAAAAGATTATAATAAATACACTTTCAATTTAATTTTTTTTTTCATAAGATAAACACATCAATTTGTTCACTCCAAAATCTCAAAACAATGTCAAAAGTTCAACTCTACACCGTGTCAAAAAATTGTGACAACCCTTCATTTAAATCCAGTTGCACCCACTTTGGACCATTTGCACAGATCAAATCCTAACAGAAATACAAAAAAGGTAGCTCTCAAACTGATTCTAGACTTCCAAAAAGCCTTTAATTTGTTTAGGGGATGGGCCTTAACTCTGAGCCTAGCTTGTAGGGAGAAGCCCACAATACTCTGCTCCAATGCTGATAATCCTCGAGTACAAACACGAATTTCAGCCTTATATCTCGAGATAAAATATTCCGGCAACTTGAGCTCACAACTTGTGTCTGTTGACTTGCTCAGGCAATCTAAGTCTCCAAGTCAGCACGCGTGCACGAAAAGTGGGACATTCAACAAGGGTTTAGCGACTCGCGTCGTTTTCAGGTTTGCCGGACGACTTGGGACTTAAATTATGATTCGTACAGCATATCGTCTTCATTTTTCTTTTCTGTTTTTCTTTTCTCTATAAATAGTGGCCAAAGTGCAACAATTTTTTTCCAACCAAAGCAAAGAAATTAAACAACCCAGTTTTAGAAAGCTTAGAGTTGTAATTACCCAAAATATATAGCTACTATGGCCTTAAAGTCTGTTATTGTTGTTAGCCTCTTGCTTGCTTGCATTGCGATGCCACTGGCTGAAGCACAACTTCTTGGTGGGCTCCTTCAGCCTCTCTTTGGGCTTCTTAGAGTCCAAGGCATTGTATATTGCACTCCTAATGGGAACATTGGTGTCAATGGGACTTCAACCCCAGTCTTCCCCAGTAAGTTAACAATTTCATGTGCCCAAACTTATGTTTAATCAATAACTATTGTTTGTAAATAATCTTTCTGCAATTTTATATTGACAGATGCTTCGGTGCAATTGCAATGCGGTGGAAATGTGGTGTCCACGGCTACAACGAATGGGTCGGGAGTATTTTCAATACTTTTGGACCCTATCAGTTTCGTTCTGTCGACGCTTCTTTCAGGGTGCAGAGTTGCAGTCAACACACCTTTGGCCTCTTGCAACACGAATTTACCTTCGGTCGGAGGTCTCATCTCGAATTTACAGTTCATTGGGAATACTCTTGTTGGGCTCCTCAACATTGGCAACATCATCCCTTCTGGTTTTCAGTTCAATGCTAATATGAACTAGCCAGTAGTTCATGCATCATAATTGATTCATGTCCTATCAATCAATAAAGTCATTGTGATATATGTATCTAAGTTTGTGGTTTTCTTTTTTTATAAGTAATTGTGATATATAGTGATGATATATGTATCTAAGTTTGTACGAAATATTCTGTTCTACCTTTGGTTTTGTAATGAAATTCTAAATTATGTATCACAAGTTCTAAGTATTTTTTTTTTTCGATTTAGAATTCAAATAAAGTAAATTATTAAAAGGACTATTTGCAATTAATATGAATTATAAGATCATTTAGGGCATGATTGGCTATAAGTTAGATCGATCTTGATTGACCGAATAATTTTTTTGAACTAATTAACTCAAAATTACACTCAAATTTTGATTTAACTTAACTCTCCTTAATATTAGCAATCAAATATATCTATAATCTATAATTCTCTTAAAATGAATGGTAGATTCTTGAAACATTTGAATTTTCATTTTGTTATTAAGTTAGAAAGTTACAATTAACAATATTTGTTAAGTTTCTAAACCTTAATTTCTTAGTTTACTTTTATTCATTATCTTTTATTTTTATAATTAATTATATGTTTAAGTGTATATATATAAAATAATTATCTACGCAAATTTATAGACTTTGAATAATGAATTTATTCTTGATTATATTAATCTGAATTAATCCACATATGACCTTAGATTTCAGTTTGATAATTTTCAATGTAATTTTAAAATGTGAGAGAAAATATTATTTTAAGATTGTTTAATTAAAATATATTTTATTTCATAACTGTAAAATATATAATGCACCAACGAAAGTATCATCTCTAATTCTCAAATTTCATATTGTTTAATAGTATTAAAAATTATTAAATTGGAACAATTTATTGAACATGTATATGTTTAAGAATGACTGAATTAAAAATAAATTTTAAACATAAATATTACAAATTTTGTGGTAAAAAATTATTTATAAATGAAAGTATATAATTTGAATATAAATATTTTGTTTAAATTATTCGTTAAATTAATAAGCATAATATGATTTAAATTTACATGTTAATAGTATTTATAGTATAAATATTCATTTATGGTGTTGATATCCAAGTCGATCCATGAGAGGTCCACGAGTCGATAATGGTAACCCCTATCGTGACGGCCTATAAGATCGGGTCGGCACCCGGATTATATAGATGTCGTGCTCAAAGAAAAACAAAGTCAATAAGGATAATGTGCAGAACGGTTTCTAAGAGCGACACCTTGGGTACTCGGGTGATGACGTCGATCTAATCAGAACCATTGTTTTAAATAGCTGATTATATAGCTATTTTTCAAAAAAATGCGACATAGTCTTATATATTTAGCGTTTTTCTCGAAAAACTTACGTGAAAAGTTGAAACGGCGCGCTTTCTTACGCTATCTTGCGCTATTGTGCCCTACATTGCGCTATATTTCTACAACGACATTTGAACAATAAAATATTAAAAGACTCGTATTTTTTAGGGATCAGAGTCATATTTACAAATGGCAATTAAAAAGTAAAATTTTTTATAATGATTTCAAATTAAAAGTTTGAAAATGCAAAGTCCTAAGTTGAATAGTGCAATATTTTTTTGTCCATTTTTGTTATATCATTTTATTTTTTGATATTTGACATTTAAATAAAGAATAAGAATATCATATCTAATGGTTAGAATTAAGTTGTAGTTAAATAAAAAATAATAATTAAAATGCATATACTTAAAATTATAGTATTACTTACCTCATTATATTTTCGTTGTTTGATCTTACTTTTTATTATATTCGATTTATTATTAAATATTTATATTATGATGATATTTACATTAAACATTTGTGAGAATAAATCCTTAGATGTTATTTTGATGTCATCCAAATACTATGATAATCTTTTTAATCAACCATCCATTTTTATTATATGCAAATACACTTGTAAT